TGGCACAAAAAGATTATATGTATGCAGAATTCAAACATGTCTGTATGTCCGCTGCTACCACACCTATATGTGCATCCTCCAATTCTCCAGGTAAATTATGCACAAGCTCTGAAGATGCTGTGTTTTTATTTATTCTTGCAATGACTGGATGGTTGTACATTTACTTCAGCTATTCTTTGCAACCTTGACTGACTTCTTCAGTGTCTTTTTCTTTGCAGATGACTGGACGGTATGCTGAGTACGCAGAACAACTTGCCAAAGCTGTTCAGCATGACTTCAAACCCAAAATAGTAAAGGAGTAGAACATATTCTACAAATAGTGCACATTTATTATAGCCTATTTCAGCAGGAAACATGCTTAGTTCAGATTTAATTTGACACAAAGATCACGTCTGTCAGACTGACTGATTTCTATCATTTTATGTGATAAAAAAACATTCAAAGTCAAACCTTTGTCCTGTTCTCATTTGAACTGTTAAACTGAAACATTGCTGAATTAAAGATCGCCTATGAACCTGGTGTTTCAAATCACCTTTTAAATCATTGGCTATAACAGACATTTTCCTACAGGCCACACTGGCTTTTGAATTGGCATTGCAGCCCGCAGCTCTCCTGTGGCAGACAGCTAACAAGGGGAAAGGTACCACCAGGGTTGAAATGCAGCGGTACTAGAAGTATTAGAAGTATTTTTTAATGGTTTAGAAAAAATGTTTCCCTGTTTCAAACTGATTCTTATCATTTCATTCAGAATGAACACATAAATCCTCTTAAGGAAGTTATCTGGGTGAGAAGTAGGCCTGAGATGGAAAATCACAGTAGACATATTTTATGGGGACCTGTTATGCACATTTTCACTTCCATATTTTTGCCATTGTACTCTACTGGAGCCACTTTAAGTATTTAATGGCTTAAAACAATACTTTTTTTATCTAATACTGGGTCTCAATTCAGTTCGTCCTCTGAAAGAAATTGTTTTGGTCTCTGCCCTTTCAAGACCGCTACATTTAAAGCAGCCTTGAAAGGGGGTGGGGCTTCTGTTGTTTCTATTACTATATTGGGAATATATCCTCCTACTGACGTCATACAAAGCAAAAGAGAAGTGACTGGAAATGGAGTGTTTAGACCAGTCTAGTTCAACTTGTACATATGCTAACATCCTTATTTGAATACAATAAACATTCCTTTGAGATTTTGGTTCACATTGATTCAGTAGCCTCACTTGTTGTGAATCTCCAGTTCCACCACATCAAACAGGTGCTGTACTAGATTTATGTCTGGTGATTGTGGAAGTGATCGGAATAAAGCAAACTGATGCTCAAGATGATCTGAGCTTTGTGAGCTGGCGCGTTCTCTTGTTGGAAGCAGCTATCTGAAGATGGGCACACTGTGGTCATAGATGCCTGACCGTACTCATTTTTCTGTTTAGGTGCGGATACGACGCTGGAGTGTAGGCAACAGCAAATCTTTTTAATTCCCTTTTAAACAGTGTCCCAACTACACAGCACTTGATGTTGTTTATATAAGATTTGACCTATAACATGAGGTTTAAGGTATGAGTTCACTATTAAACCTATATAAAGCAGACGGAAATAACAAGGCTGTTCAAATGTTTTAATCACAACATATAATAAAAGTGCTATCTATACTGAATAAAAAAATAAAGCTTGTGGTTTTCACCCAGAAGCACAACCAGACACGACCCACTTTTCCTTGATTCGGAAAAGCAATATAATTTAAATAACATAATCGTGTCTGGTATGAAAGTGTAGTGCAAAAACATGTAAGTTAAAAATAAAACTCCGTGACAATGAGGAAATGACTTCGTCTTCATTTACAAACCAAAATGACTTATCCTAGTCCTAACGCATCCATGTATCCAGCACATTCCCCAAAGGCACAGGACACATGCGGAGCTGCTTTTCCAGTGAAGCAATTGAATCCGGTGACGTCACGTTTCATCACGTCCGAGCTGAGTGTCCATGAGTTCCATACATCTATGGAGTATTGCATTGAACTTGCTTCATCATTTGAGTCACAATTTAGAGCATTAATTACCTGATACTCTCGTGACTTGCTTCCTGTATTTCCCTGTTTACAGAATCGTCTGATTAAAATGCGGTGAGTCGGGAGGATTTTTAAAAGGCAGGTAGAGGCGAGGCTGGAGGGGAGGGGCGGATGAGCAGCTTCACATTAACACTGAGTGGAACAAAGAAATGAACACTCCAAGTATTATCAACATCGGCCCTGAATTATGTGCACACAATTTCCTGGTAAATTCTACTCTTGCTTATGTTTCCCACAGTTCTGCCACAGTTGTGCAAGTCTGTACACTCAGTGTGAGACTCCAGTACAACTGCAGTCATTAAAAATTTCCACATTGACAATAACATGAATCTGAAATATCTGTTCATCACAAAAACAGAAATGAAAGGATCCATCCTGGATTCCTAATTCTTCCCACGGTGAATCATTCAAAGGTTAAGTAGTGTTGGCATATACAGTACATGTATATATGTGAGCAGGCTTTTTGGCACCGGAGGAAAAAAGCCTGCAAAAGGGGGATCTGTGACAGCAGACAGGAGGAGGTGTCACTAGACTCTGCAGCATTTTGATATTCCTATAATGACAAAAATCCAAATCCATCAACTCTCTTTGAACACGAACAGGATATCCTCGTCTGTCCCATAGCTGCGTCGAGCTTCCTCAAAGTTATTGACGCTGGTGCAGCACACCCCTAAAAACACACACACACACACACAGATCTGTCAGCTCCAAGTTAAATAAATAAAAACACATTTATAAATAAGCTGCTCAAAAAGTGTACTCTGGGTCTGCCTCCCACTGTTAGCTCTATAGATGGCAATGTTCATGGACAACTCACTGGTGCCCATACAGTAAATACCACCAGCCATGGTGTTTATACGCAATGTCTCAACACCTGCTGGATTACCATGAAATTTGATCCACACCCTCGTGGCTCCCTCTGGATTCATTAGAATTACTTTGGATTAGTGCTGGGTCTGAATATATTATGTTGACTATGCTGAAGCAATACGAGAGTTGACCTTTAGTAAGTGTTCACCTTTCTCATGCACGACTCCATTCATATGAAATAAAAGTCTTGCTTATGGAAAAAACAATGACTTGTGAAACATGAACCATTTCTAACTCCAGAAACTGCACAAATACACCACTGAACATCAAGCCAGGCAGCATTAACTTGTGCTACCAGCTTGAATTGACTCTGTCACTACTGAGGAGGAGAAAGAAACGAGAGCACAGCTGCCCCACAAATAAAGTCCGCCGTTTAGAGGTTTATCTGTTTGTTTGTTTTTAAACATAGCTTTTTTTCTGCATTTCTGTCATTCACCTTGTGAGGGGTTCAGCTCATGCGGTGACATGGAACCAAGCAAGGTTTGTTAATGTTAATGGAAACATTGACGTTCACGAATCACATGATGACTGAAAACAGCTGCAACAAAAAGTGGCATTACACCAAACCTGAAAGCAGAGCAGCTGCTGTTTAAGGGCCGACTCTATCGCTGTGTGCCAAAATTTAAGCTTTCTTAGTCTAAGCCTAACAGTAGATCTTATTTTAATTGTATCATATATATTTTATTTCTGAGGATTCCTTAAAAAGAACAGCTCACAGAACTCAAATTAAGAGGATTTTGCTTTAGTGCTATTCATCCATCCATCTATTTTCTTCCATCCATCCATTCGCTTCCGCTTATCCTTTTCAGGGTCGCGGGGGGCGCTGGAGCCTATCCCAGCTGTCATGGCGAGAGGCGGGGTACACCCTGGACAGGTCGCCAGTCTGTCGCAGGGCTAACACACAGGGACAGACAACCATTCGCACTCACATTCACTCCCACATTCACAGCTAGTGGCAATTTGGATTATCCAATTAACCTATCCCCACAAGTTATCCCCATCTATTTTCTTCTGCTTTCAAATTGGTCTCTCGAGCATCTGCAACAGGGCAAAGTATACAGTAAACAGGTGGGGGTGGGGACCTTCTTGCTGTGAGGCAACAGCAGGATGATGGCCATCCTGATAATTCCAGTGTGACATGAAGACTTTTGGAGATACCGGCCTTTGAGACTTTTTCCTTTTTAAGTGAATGGAATCAGGCAGCACGGTGGTTAGCACTGTTGCCGCACAGCAAGAAGGTCCTGAGTTCAATTCCACCATCAGGCCGGGGTCTTTCTGTGTGGAGTTTGCATGTTCTCCCCGTGTTTGCGTGGGTTCCCTCCGGGTACTCCGGCTTCCTCCCACCGTCCAAAGACATGCAGCTTGTGGGGATAGGTTAATTGGATAATTTCAAATTGTCACTAGGTGTGAATGTGCGAGTGAATGTGAGTGCGAATGGTTGTCTGTCCCTGTGTGTGCTGGCCCTGCGACAGACTGGCGACCTGTCCAGGGTGTACCCCGCCTCTCGCCCTATGACAGCTGGGATAGGCTCCAGCGCCCCCCGCGACCCTGAAAAGGATAAGTGGAAGCGGATGGATGGATGGAATCAGGCAGCAGTTACTTGTGGTGCTCAAAACACCAGTGAGCACATTTTGTGCACCCAGTATGAATTTGTGTGGAATATTAAAAGCTAGTTCAATCTAGAAGATCACCTGCAAACCTTGAGCCATCCACTTCTCTGGCAGCTTTTCTACAATAACTTCCACACAACGAGCAGTGTCATGACAGGTAAGGCTAAGAAGGAGGATTCACATTTACTAAGACGGTCTCTTACATACCACAGATTAATTTTACTTACAGTTATGGTAAAAGTAGAAATACAAGTATACTCACGGTCAGAATACGCTGGGTTATTGTAGAAGATGGAGCCAGTGGTTGTGTTGAAGCCACACACAACCACAAAGTGACCCTGATAGTCCGGCTTCCTGCAGAAACACTTCTGACCCACGGGCATGAAGCAGCAGTATTTGACAGGCTGGGAGCACAGTTCACATGTCAACACCACAGCATTGACCAGCACTATGGCAACGTGGCCCTGCTCCAGATGAGACTGGATTTCCTGAACTGACACAGAACTGAGAGAAGGCACACACAACTGAGGTCATATATTTATTTTAAGGTACTAAAAAAAGTAGGCGGGTAAACTAACATAAACAGGAAGCTCACCATTTCTTCACCCCCACACCTTTGCTCTCCGCTTTAAGGAAGAGCTCATTCACTCTGTTTTCTTCAGTATCAAAATGCTTCTTGTAAAAGGACTGTAAACAACAACAAAACATAGTCAAGACACAATCATAGGTAACTATCAAAATGTTCAAAACTGGTTAGAATTACACTGTTAGTTTGGACTACGTACCTGGTTTTTAAAGCCCTTATCTACACCCAGAGTCTGTGTACAAAAGCAGTGTTTGATTCCTAGATGGCACATGAGGTAGGCCAGGTCGATAGTCCACACACTTTCTGTCAGCTTCAGTTCCCAGCACGCCCTCTGAAACTCATCATCGCTGACAGGGTGGAGGTACCTACACATTCAGACAACCAGAGTGTGAATCTCTCACACAATGCCAAGGCACCTTTGATTTGCAATTCAGAAAAGAGCCTGCTGACAGGCAGTGCAGGAAGCACTGCAGTCTGTATGGCAGATACAGTACATAGTGTAATAAAAACATGACTTCTGAAGGTAAAAACCCTGATGTGCTCTTACTTGAGGACCATCCTGGAGCAGGCTAAGCCACAGTCCCAGTGGTACAGCTGCCGGATAACAGGAACATCCAGCAGGACATCATCTGAGTAAACCGAGGAGTTACTTTCACATTTCAACAAAACAAATACTAGCGCTGTCACAAGACTGTTTCACTCACCTGTCATTCTGCTGGTTTCTTTCTCTCACAGACCGCCCGGTAACTAACTCAGTACCAGCTGGTCAGTGTTGTTTGCAGCACTAAGGGCGAGGCTGGGTGCCCTCATCGATGCTAACTAGTTAAAAAAAACTAGCTCCCCGACTACAAGCGTCCAGGCTAGCACTATTTATCGCTCTGTTGCTGATAAAACGCGCACAGCTCTGTGACTCACGCCGCTGCGAGGCGCACACACATAACTAACAAGAAAAACAGTAACAAAAACTCATTTTTAGGACGGTTTTTCGTGCCGATACCTCGAAACAAGACGCTCCTCCGCTCTATTCCGTGTTTACTCGCGTACGCTTCTTGTGTTTGCTTGCGTTATACTGCCACCATGTGGTGTGGAGGACACTTTAACGCTTCTTATGAGAACTGTATCCACGCACTTTTACTACTATCTATTTGAACCATAGATTTGAACTATTAGTAGACAAACTTTACTAAAGTATTTCAGGACTAATCCTACTATTCACTAACATTTTAAACGGACGATTTTTTTATGTATACTACTCACTATAAGTCATGTGATTAGAAGAATAGGGGGACAGGAAATTCAAGTGTTTGTCTGTTGTGTCTTCAAGTGTTAAAAAATGTATTCGTGGCAAAAGGTAAAAACAATTGGCTCATAAAATACACCATGCTCTGCAATCATTATTGCACATATGAATGATGATGATTCCATGTCCTAACACATTATACAAATAATCTGTAACGATACTTCCATTTATTTTCACATAACTACATGTTTTTGACTCAATTCATATTACTGAATACAATTACCTGGTAACTGATAATACATTATTTTAGATGAAACTACTCAAAAGTGCAAATAAATCAAATCAAATAATTTCTGCAAGCTGTAAAATAACATATTAATGATCAGTAATTAGCCCAGAACTGTATTTTATTTTGAAACCTTTCATTCTCCATCTTTGCTGCTGGTATTATAATTATATTTTGAAGATTACACGTTTATACTTTTACTAGTGAGTGTTTTGTAGATGCTACTTAAATAAAAGCCAGAGTTCGTCCTCCAACACTGTTTATCCTCCTTCTTTCTATTATCACATTTGAATGCTTTTAGTGAAATATTCAAATGATGTTTTAATGTGTCGTTTCATGAGGGTTCCCATTTCTCTGTAGAAAAATGTTGTTCCTGCTACTGGGTTCCATAGGTGGTCCCCATTGACACCTGTGTTACAAAAAAACACAAACAAACAGACCGACATTTAAGATCTTAGTCAGTACTAACTGAGATCATCAGTGAAAGTGAAGGAGAAAAGCCAGTTACCGATGCACTGTCTGCATCTTCAGTGAGATGTGTTGTTTTGTGTCTGCTGTAAAGATCTCGTTTCCTTGAGCAAGTCACCAAAAACCAGTCAGCAACCACGGGCACCTGAACGAAAATAGTCAAAACATTTAAAATCTGGTGTTTCATCATTTATACGGATGCTAGTCTGAACATTTCTCTTCTCACCAAACTGAGGAACGACAAGGCTGCACCCAAGTTCACTATGGTTGGGACGATGGAGAATCTTCCTGCCTGTAAGAATCCCAAACTACCATAAGACTAGCGTAAAAACACGGACGGTTCTTGATAAAATCATTGCTGTTTCAAGATTTATTCAGGCCTCACAGTTCCAAACACAATGACGTCGAAGCGGATCCCGTAAGCTTTGATTAACGTTCTGGTTTCCTCTCCATCTGCTGTCTTGTAGTATTTAGCAAATCTAAAAGACAGAAGTTTTAGCAGTTCAGCCTTATACATTCATCAGTACCTGTCTGTTTAAAAAAAAAACAAAAAAAGTTTTTCACCTAAAGTTGTAACCAGGGGCCACATTGTTGACAGGATGTTTGTTGTCCAGCCTCCGGAAGCTGTATTTAGGTAAACACTCCCCTGCCCACCAGTCCAAATCACAGCTCCAGTCAATAAGAATACCAAGGATACCCCCCTGTAAAAACAATCACTCGGTTCAGGATTATTCAATTAGCACCTTTAAATTTAGGTTAGATCTGTACTGATGAAATTAAAAACAACAATTAAAATATAATAGTCACAACAAAAAGTAGTGTTTGGACAAAAAACAATAACAAAGAATGGTATAAAACTAGTACACGCCTGTGCCACAGTATTTTACACAGGCCATGAAACTGAAATAGTAAAATGCGTTTTATTGTAGGAGCATAAATGCAAAAAAAAAAAAAAAAAAAGCTCCAATGGCCATTGCTAGGTGATTGCTAGGCAACCATGATCATAATATATATAGATAAGAACCTGTAAGGACCTATTTTGGTTGAAAACACCAACTACAATTGAAAACAGTGTAAGACAATAATTATTAAGTTCAAATATGGCAATGCTGAATGAAAATGTTAACTTGTACCTGCTTTTCAGAGTTTAAAGAGACAACCATGTAAAACAATGTATCCTACAATGAAGATGAAACAGCTACATAAAAATAAACAATAGTGCTCAACCACACTTAATGGAAAGCCAAACAATGGCTTTAAGAGTTCAGCACTTCCAGCTGTTCTCAGCTCCCATGGTAGACTTTAATCGCAGCACAGAGCACAGACGCTAGAAAGGTTTTTGCCTTGTGATCTGGAGTGACCACAGAGAACATAAAAAATGCATACATTACACTAACTGTGGGAGTGACTATCAGATGGGAGCCAGGGAACCTGAGGGGTGTACCGGCTCACATCCTGCTTATGAGACATATATACTGGAGGAAGATCATACAGGAACTTGAACAATGAATTCCAGTACAGAAAGACAACGATCATTCGATTCACCTTCACAGCCATGTCTTGAAAATCCTCCCCAGCCTCTGAGACAATATGCTTGAGTCTGAATATGGGACAGTGTGGGTCTGTGAGACGGCTGAATTCACACCTCTTCAGGTATGAGGAGTTCACATGAGGCAGTATGTTTCTTCTGGAGGAAGAAGGACAAGGCTCCGGTTTAATGGGGAAAACTGTGACTCTGTATGTTTGCTTAAGCATCTACAGATCTCCCTCTTACATTCAAATGCAGTTCACCGACCTGTGAAAGTTGAACTTTGGGTACGTGATGCTGTTTTTGATCAACACGGTGAAGTTTTCTGCTGCAACCAGCAGCGCATGCCTGCGGGATATGAGACAACACATCAAGCCTCCACAGTCCTGGAACTAGTAACAAATATTCTAACGTGGTAAATATACTCTTACTCAGGCAGCTTAGTGTCTATTTCAAGTGGGCACCATGAGAGCACTTCACAGGTCCGTGCAGTGGTGGAGTAGTTCTCACACAGTCCCGTCTGTATACCTGGGTGGAAAATAAATTTCACGCTGAGTTTTTGCTGCGTGAGGCCACAAATATTAAAGGGGCTGTATCATCAGGGAGGAAGGTCTACCGTTGCCCCGGGGATCACTGCGTCCCTCGACACAGTTGCAGTCATCCACACAAGTAGTTGATGGGCTTGGAAGCTGCAGGAAAAATCTCCAGTGTTAATGTGTATATTTGAAGGTGAAGTTAAAAATCCTAAATACATTTCACAAAACATTTTTAAGCAATAATATGCAAAACAATCAAATAAATAAATACATTTTTAAATGCTGGATATAGAAAATATGACACAAACGGATTAATTACATTTTTAAATTAATTAAAAATCTTTGTCAGAAGCTCCCAATTTTAAAAAACTATCTAGAAACTGTTTCCTTTTTTCAGGCTTTAAAGGGTTAATGCAAACATTAAAAAGTATTTAATACTTAACCCTTTA